GGGAAAGATATAACATAGTCAGCCCTCTCTATGTGCAGATTCTGTATTTCTATGTATGATTTCAGGTATCCAAGGAGGGTCCTAGAACAGATCCCCGGTAGATAAAAAGGAACTGTCACATAAATATGCCTTACTGCTTACTTGGACAACAAGAAACACAGGGAAGATATACCAGAAACTAAGACACCTGATTGCCTATGAGGATTGCGCAGACATAAACTGAACAAACGAGGGCAGTAACACTTCTCTGAGAGGTTGTGTAATTTTAACTATTAAGTTATATCAGTGTTGTATGTTTGTACTCAACAATAACAATACAACCAATCTGCGTGGGGACGAGCCCTGAAATGGGTACAAATAAATATTTCAAATAAATGTAAAAGGAAGGGTGAAATTTAAAAATCACTATCTGATTATGATGATAATTGATTCAGATGAGCATGATCAAAGGATAAAACTACAGGAAGGGAGTTTGATTAGAAATAGAATACTCCCATAGTTTTAAGTAATCTCCTCAAAATACTCCTTCATTAGAGAAGGGAAAGTAGCAATTTTAGTGGAAGAACTGAATGGATACCACCTTGACCAAAAGATTAAACTGGTGTACACTCTCACTAACAGAACCACCAACATCATGTCATCCTGGCTCACTCAGTTCAGCTATTCCTTCAGCCTAGAACACTGTCTCTCCAGATATCCCAGTGGGAAACTCATTCATTTCACTGAATTTTTTCTCAGATATTATTTTTTCAATGAGAACTCCCCTGATCACATTTTAATACTGCATCTTTGGGACCAGCAGATGGCATAATGGTTACATCGCTGGATGCCCTTGTAGTCAACTGTGGTTCGAGTCCTGGACCCAGCGGCTTGAAACTCATGCTGGGCACATGTGCATGCATGTCCAAGATCCTGAGAAGAGAACAGTGGAGAAGGGATGGCGGTGTGACCATTCCCCTGGGGGGTGATTTCTTACTTTCAGTCTCTCTGCCTCTCTGTGTCTCTCTGGCAAACACGTGTGCCCTATAGCAAGAATCTCTCTTAAAAAAAAATAGTGCATCTTGTCTCCCTCACCCCACTTATCTTACACTGCATTTCCTTTTTTCATAGTACTTATTAGTTTTATCTCTTTTTTTCCCCATTACATTTATTGCTTATTATTCCTTACCTGGAGAATGTAAATACCCACAGTGGCAGGGAGCTATTTTATATGTTAGTATATCTGTAAGAATCCAGAAACAGCTGCTGGCACTTAGGTGCTCAATAAATATTTGTTAAATGTGGAATGAAGGAAAGTACTAGGCTCCTGGGAGCCACTCCCATCTTGGCCACACCTGGGATCAGAATTTCTGTATGGAGGTGACTGGGATAGCAATCATTTCAGACAGTAATATCTTGGGCTGTATTCACTTGCAAGGTAAATTTATTTGAAGTACTTTGGGGAGGGACTGTTGAAAAGTATGAAGGAGTTGACGTCCCCTCTCACACTTCCCCCCTTTGAACCACTGTTTGTGATCCCCAAATCAGCTTTCATAGGGACCCACAGTTCTATGTCATACAAAGGTACTTTCTATTCTTGAAAGGTACCTTTTATTTCCCTACCTTTAAGACATGATTTAAAAGGATACCCTTACCTGTATGGTTGACCACATGTATGTCCACTCTGCCTGGGATTTTTGATTATAGCAGTAACAGTCTGACAAAGAAGTTTGAATTAAATCCATTTCCTTCAATATTTTACATCTTGAAACTGAAAAATAAAAAAAGGAAATACATTTTCTAAATATGTAACTACTCAGATCTTTTGTAATTCATAGGAAGATAATGGTGGCGGTTTTAACATTCTGTGACCCATCAATTCTTGTACAATACATTGCAGCTACAGGCCTTCGGTCTTCCCAACCTGGCAGGTGTCAGACAGAGAACTCAGTCCAGTGTCAGTGTTCCCGACATGTAGAGGGTACTTCAAGAGCACAGAGAACACACGCTTCTTCACTGAAGTAAAGGGTGAAACGAAGTGGAGGATGAAAGGATAATTCAGAGGGCAACAAATCAGAAGTCAGAGGCAGGAGTGGCAAGTATGTCCTGGGTGTCGGAGAAGTCACGACACGTTTTTGCATAGAAAAACAAAAAAATACATCAGGACTTTTCAATGACCTAATATTACAAAACCAGAGATGAGAGAAATCATGGAAGGAGTTCAGTTTAGGGGTATCTGCTTGTCATACTGTGAGGGAACAAGGATGGAGTGGTAAGAAGTGTACCACTTACCTTAGGAGGGTGGGCTGTGCCCTGAAGACAGAGCACTGAAGGACGTCGGGCAAGTACCAGAGGACCTAAGTGCCCGAAAATGCTGACACTCAAAAGGGCAGTGGGCAGCTGAGGCACCAATGACAAGGCACTGGGAAGTCCCTAGGCACCAACAAGAGCAGGAAGCTTTGAACAGCCTTAGGCTTGAAATGGCAAGGGGAGGACCATGTTACTGTAGCTTACTAGATCCGGGAGGGCAGCAGTCGGAGGCAATGCAATCAGTGCCAAAACTTCAGTGGACTGTGGGGTGAGGGAGAAGAGGGTACCTCAGCCTCTCTCACCTACTCTCCAGTCTGTGTCCCAAATTGGCCAAACCCGACAGGGAGACAGAGAGCAAAGGAGTCCAGATGACGTAGTCCATGGAGGTCAGCTTGCAGCCACTGAGCATCGGAGGGAAGGGCTGAGAACAGAACACAGGAACAAACAGGTGCTCTCCAGCTCAGCAGGAGGGACAGGGCCACATCTGTGTTTTAGAAAGAGCATTCTCTAAGCAGAGCGGGATGTTAGAGGGGAGAAGACCAAGCACAAGGACCACTAGGAGGCTGCTGAAGCAATCTCGGCAAAAAAAGGAACTGAGGAGGGAGAAGGCACAGACTGAAGAGCACTTAGGAAGGGCTATCAGCAAGCTTTGGAGATCACTTGATAAAGGACAAGGGGAAGATGACGCAAAGGTTCTGGTGAGGGAAGCCCTCACCCAGATAAGAAATACTGGAAAAGAAACAAATTTGTGTGGAAAAAGGCAGGTGAGTTCAATTTTTGAAATACTGAATTTCAGTTGGTGGGACTAAGTGAAGATGGAAGGAGAAATTTGGTGGAGAGAGATACAGATATATAAGTATGTATTATATGTATATATATACACACACACACTCATATATAATTATATATATTACAATTATATATATACACACATATATACAATTATATATATATATAACAATTATATATTAAAATTTAATATATATACACATGCATATATATAATTATATATATATTATAATTTATATATATTACAATTTTATATATACATAAATGCAATACAAAGCACTATGAAAGAGAGAGAGATGCTATATTACATAGGGCTAATGAGGTAGATGTCCTAAGAAAATCAGAAAGTGATGAGGTTCATTTTCTTCTGTGCCCACTTCTGTACTTGGATCTGAAATGAAGTGGAACAAAAGTTAAAAGTTCTAGATAATCCAAAACAGGGTGTCACCACATCTGTCCAATAGGAAACAGCGAATAGGAGCACTCATGGGTACACACAGAAATAGGCCTTATGCCAAACCCCCAACTGGTCAGCTGCATCTCCAGAAAAAAAAAACAGAAATGAAATGAAGCTAGAACAACCTGCTACATCAAACATTGGTGAAGAATTGGAACCAGCAGTTAGCATAATGTCGCTGGACTCCCACATAGTCAACTGCAGTTCGTGTCCCGGATCCGGTGGCTTAAAACTCACGCCGGGCACTTGTGTGTGCGTGCCCAAGATCCCGAGAGGAGAACGGAGGAGAAGGGATTGCAGTGTGGCCATCCCCCCTGGGGGGTGATTTCTCGCTTTCTGTCTGTCTCTGTCTGTCTGGCGAGTGCACGCACCCTATAGCGACAACCTCTCAAAAAAAAAAAAAAAAAACACTGGAGAAGAATTGGGTAATTAGTAATAACTAGTCAACAATTATACCCACTGAGGTAATAATATTGAATACGCTCAGATAGATCCCTGTCCTATCTGTGGGATGCTTGAAATATGATTCACATTTAATTGGAGAAAAGTGAAGACAGATTTGGGGAAAGGCCCCTGGGAATGCCCTCCACCTCCTGAAGCACAGTGGGACCTGGGAACTCTGATAGACATATCAGCACAGTTACCTGAGCCCCAGTATATTCCACTGTGACAGTCAAATCATTTCATCTTTACTCTTAACATTGTGATGACACACATGCTTTCAAATGTATCAATAATTTGGCAAAGAGAGTCTAAGATGCTTAACTAAGTACACGAGGCCAAGTTAAGAGCCAGGTTTCAAAAAGATAAGAGAAGGAAGTTCTGGAGACACTCAGTTATACACAGGATATTAAAAAAAATTAAAAAGATGCTCCTGCATAGTCTGTATACAAAAGCCAAAAGGAAACGGCAATACCAGTGCTATGAACCCACACAGCAATCAATGCCGAGGTGAATCTTGGGTAGATCTGAGATGCAAACAACTCCTAGCCAAGGATAGCACAAGGGAAAGGGCAGTCTAGGGGGTCAAAGGGCTGGCGCTAACCATGGAACAGATGGGTGTCAAGGCAGGCAGTGCAGAACTGGTTAGAGTCTGAGCAACCGAGACAAGAACGCAGGTGAACACACTGAAAGCCCTCGGCTAGTGAGCAGCAGCAGTGCGGTCAGAAGACTTCTGGATTCACCTTCCTGCATCTTACTCTCAAGAGCTACAGATATCAAGTGATTTAGAAGACAGTTGTAGGACCAAATGGTTACAAAAACAAAAACAGCAACAACAAAACAACCAAACCTCATTTGAAGATAGTCTTCCTGTACCCCATGTTTAGCTTATTCAGAGCCTCCTGCAGGGTTTCTGAACAGGAATCAGGCCTAAATCTGGGGCTAGGGCTGAGAACTTTATACTGGAAGTCCTCAGTAAGAGAGAAGAATCCCTACCTATTGTTAAGAAGGGAGAACATTCCAGGAAAACAGGTGAAGAGCATGAGGTCTTGGGTATAGACCCCTGCAAGACCCAGACCACTGTAGGAATGTTTCTTTCTAGGCACTTCTTTCTTTCTTTACCACTCCCAGGTAGTTTCTTATTGTGCTCAATGCTAAGATGTCTTGTGAGTTGCAGCTCCTTGCCTAGTGAGCTCTGCTACTTCAAGGGCTAAATCAACTCTGGGAGCAGCAGTTGGCATAATGGCTATGTCGCTGGACTCCCATGTAGTCAACTGCAGTTCGTGTCCCGGATCCGGTGGCTTAAAACTCACGCCGGGCACTTGTGTGTGCGTGCCCAAGATCCCGAGAGGAGAACGGAGGAGAAGGGATTGCAGTGTGGCCATCCCCCCTGGGGGGTGATTTCTCGCTTTCTGTCTGTCTCTGTCTGTCTGGCGAGTGCACGCACCCTATAGCAAAAACCTCTCCTAAAAAAAAGGGGGGGGGGCTAAATCAACTCTCATAGAATAGTTTCCTTTTGATAGTAGTCTAAAAAAATAGCCTCTTGGTGGGGCCTGAATTTTGTAAACAAATGCTACCTTCAAATGAGGGGATTTTTTTTTTTTCTCCATTTGGCCCTAAAACTATTTCTTAAATCACTTTATAACTCTCCAGTGAGAGAGAAATAGTTATCATTAAGTGCTGCACCATTAAAAAATCACCATCCTTTCCAAGGACCCCGGGTATCTCTCGGACCTTCTCTCTTCCTCCTCTCCAGTTCAGCTGCTCTAGCCATGCTAACCCTGCTCTCCTCCTTAAGATGCCAGCCCACATTGGCCTCTAGTTTCCTCGGCATACAACCTTCTTCCCCCAGGTCTTGGAAGAGCTTGTACCTTCCAGTAACTGATGGGTTTCCCTAAATGCTGTCTTCTCAGGAGGGCCTTCTTTGACCTCACTGTGTAAATTAGCACACCCCTGCCACTTTCACCTGCTTTCTTTGTATTCTGATTTATGTTTTCTTCATCTAAGGTATGATTAGCTTACACTTATTACCTTACACTTTCTTTATGAAATTAGGGATGTGGTATGTTCATTACTGCATACTTCAGCATTTAATGTTTGTTTTTCGTGCATGTTACAATTCAAGAGGATTGATTAGTGGGTTAATTGGGCATATGGAGTCTAGACAATGAAAGTACAATCAATCTAAGAGTCTGACGAGTGCCCAGTCAGCACCAGACAAAGCAGGTACACTCTGGTCCTCCCCTTGAAAACACCTGAAGCAGCAGGACACCCCGTCCAGCCTATGCTATGGTCTGCCATCCCATCTAAAGAACCCACACAGCATGAGGTCTATTCTGGCAGCCATTTACGCTCTTCTGTTACCCTACCCCATCATCAGTGTACCTTTAATTAGTAGACTGGACACTGTAACCCTTATCCCCTGGGCTAGGGCCCATTTTCTCCGTCCTCAGTGACAGAGAAGAGTAGGATTCCTACCAAGAGGTGGCAATCTCAGGGAACCAGCAGTTAGCGTAATGGCTATGTCGCTGGACTCCCACGTAGTCGACCACGGTTCGTGTCCCGGACCCGGTGGCTTAAAACTCACGCCGGGCGCGTGTGCGTGCGTGCCCAAGATCCCGAGAGGAGAATGGAGAAGGGATTGCGGCGTGACCATGCCCCCTGGGGGGTGATTTCTCGCTTTCTGTCTCTAAGTCTCTCTCTGTCTGTCTGGCGAGCGCACGTGCCCTACAGTGAAAAATCTCTCAA